AGCTTATAGGACTTGGAACCAACTTCATCATTAAAAACATAATTCTAATAGAAACTGTGTACAAACAGTAAACACATACACATGAATGAAACAGGGTGCAATCTGTAAACCAGAAAGTGAAACTATTTAGAAATAAAAGTGGTATTCAGTCATCTGCTTCTACCAATAATAAAGATAATAAAAAGGAGAAAACTGCATTTTAATTTGAAGTTAACTTTATGCAGAACACATTAGTAAGGAAGGTAAAACCAGGGCTGATTTGCTGGATAGGAGGGCAAAGGGGCCATAGCCCCTCACTGGCTGTGCCCTGTGTTTTGCTCTAGACTAAGTAAGAGAGAACAGCAGTACTGCTGCAGAGAGCCCACAGCAGCCTCACCAAACCCTGGGAGTGAATTCCAAAAGAACCTTTAATTTCGTTATGAAAACACAAGCTGTAGTCTCACACTGATCACCACACAGGACACGCCAAGATATAGGGAGGCCCAGCTGCCAGTGGAATACCTATGGAGTACATTCCCATATCCTGCAGTAGACTGTGCACCAGACATGACCATCTTGAGCTGATAATGGTTTGGAGGTTATTTGTTTGGTACTACTGAATTTGTAGCACAGAAGTAACTTCTGACTTTTGTTCCTTCTGTTCATGAACACTAGCAAATGAAAAAACCCCCAACATTTTGCCTTGTGCCATTCTGCATCCTGTCCAACATCTGTGTGTATCTCCTGATTTTTCTTTCTCAACATTTTGGATGAACACAACACAAACTGTAGCTTCAGCACTAGCACCTCCCTGCTTTTCACACCATGGAGTCGTTGGGAAATGTGTATTACATACAGATGACACTCCTGTGGTAGAAACCCTGTGCCCTGTGGGCCACATTTCACAAGGAGACCTGCAGACCCTCAAGCACGTGCTTGTCTTTCTTGTTGCCCCCACCGCTCCCCGCCTGTGGCTTTCAGCTGAACAACTCCTTTCTGCCCTCAAATTTTTAAGAGAACTGTGGTAGCCTAACTTCCTGTCAACTGCTGCCTTGCCTTCTGAACGTGGCTGTCCTCTGGTAGTGGCGAAAGATTATTATTAAGACAGTAAAGAAGAATGAAGCTGCTCTATAAAAGCTGGAACACAGCTCAGGCACAGCTTCAAGCTCTTACTGTTACAGAGATCGAACTGTTCAGGCCTTATGCAGGAGTTTTTCATGGGAAATATGAAAGGAACTGCATGACATGGATACCTGCAGTGCCAGGAGACCAGACTTAGTGACCCAGTGAAGCTCCTTCCATCCTACATGCCGAGAAAGGTGTAACCCAGAAGCTGGGAGGCTGCTCCAGCATTAAAGACTTAAAAGGACATTCTCTCAAGAGGATAGCTCTGAGTATCTGGTTCTGTGCACAGGGTCTAGGCTTGTTTCAGGTTCTGGGTGTTGACAGGATGTTTTCTCAGTGCAGTTTGTCAATAGCAGCTGATAAGGCTAAAAACACATCAAACTATGTGCCTAACAAGCATCACTGGGTTGACCTCGGAATAGAAACTAGCTATAACTTAACTCTGAAGGAACCTTATGGAGAATGTCAGTGGTTTTACATAGTTGTCTATTAATATTTTAGTGTCTGTGTCACCACACTAAGGCTTATATTTAGTCTGATTTTTATAGCAAATAAAATTTAAGTACAGATTTTTTCCCAGGTTTGGTTTTCTCCTTTCAAAGCAAAGTTAAAAGATACAAGAATTATATCAAAGCTTATAATGAGAAAATGAAATTGCAAGGGGGTACAACTAACTTGTAAGGTTGTCAGAAATATTTTAAAGACTGATCTTCCTAAATCTGTTGTATGGGAGTCTTCTTCCTAGTCTCCAATTTTCCAGCATAACTCTCTCCCCTTGCTTTCCTACAATCCCCCCCCCAAGTCGCAGAGAGTATACACGTGAAATTCAACATACCTAGTTCACAAAAATTCTTTGAAAGCAGCCCTGCACATTGCAGACTTTTTTGGCTGAGCCATAGCAATGACTAAGCAATGGGAAAAGCCTCCCTTCAGCTGTACTGTAAAGGAAAATGTGGGTGGGGGAACTGGGCTTTCAGGGTCGAAGTCATTCAGCACTCGGGTGGCACTGTGGCAAAGAGGAAAGAGGAGGACTGGGTCTGGGATGGGAGGTTTCTCAGATTTCCACTCTCCAGCCATCCCTGTAGGGCCAAGCCAGCGACGGTGCGAGAGAGGGTGTCGTTATTTGACTCAGCATGTTCCTAAGCCACAAGAGAGAAGTGACGTATGTAAAAAACTTGTCGCTCACCCTTATCTGATAAGAGGGATATCAAGGAGTTTTCTCCACTGCCTAGACATAGAGGAAGTCCTTCTTTGTCCTTGTATTTCACTTTCTCTGTCAGTATGCCTTCCTTGATGCAATTATTGTGACTTTACAGCCTCTAACACAAGACAGGAGACTTCACAGGTTTAAAGACATGATATGCAACCACAGGCTACCACATCCCCAAATACCCATTGTTTAGCTTCCCATCTACTCCACCAGCTTCAAAACTTTTTTCTGATATAATTGATTTAATTTAGTAATATCCCAGACAGAGTCATCTCACCTCCCATGAATTTGGTGGAAGTCTGCCTGCACTAAATCCATGAATTATGCTGCTGGACCAGCAAATGAATAAAGTCTGCCACATTTCTGTGATGCTTCTGGTAGAAAATGACAGAGACTGCCCAAACAGTCTCTGGTATTACTGTGCAGCTGTTCTTGCACCATCTTAGCCACAATCAATTTTATCTCCTCTAATATCATAAACTGCCTTTTGCAGAGCAGTGCTGCACAATGACACAGACCAACTCCCTGTGTTGTCCCTTCAAGCCACATGTGTCTCAAAACACATGGAGAGTCATATTGTGAATTAACTGAAGTTTCACAGTGATTCTGAAGTTGTCTGGATCTGCAAACAATCTGCAGGGATATCTTTGCATGAAACAATGCCAGCCACCAAATGACATCAGAACTATTCGAGTCTCATTACACATCCACGTGGAAAGTTTCCAACCTATCAACCGAATAAAAATGCATAAAATAAAGGCTGTGATAGCATGACCACCTACTGTAGCCCAGGCTCAAAGGAGTTTCTCAAGAGAAAGATGCCACTGATTTCCACTAATAACATTTAGCTATAAATTAACACAACTTTAGAATAAAACCTACTGAGATACTCTGTACTTCACAGTCCAGCTGTGCTGCTTATCTAAAATTATTTCAAGACATGCCCATAGGAAAAAAAAAATTAAAAAAAAAATAAAATCACACCACCTTTTCTTCAAGAAATGACTATGGGGTAGAAGGAAATATTATTTCTTCCTTATTTCAGTTTTCATTTTTCAGGATTTCTGTTCCCTTTCACCAGGAAAGATTCTGTGTGTGCATGCATGAGACCATGAGTGCACTGTGTTATCTACACACACACACCTGTAAAATCTGTTCCTGTAAGCAATCCATTTTCTGAAAGATGAAAAATTACTTAAGCACCTAAACAGCAAACACTAAACAGTCATTTGTACACAGAAAACAAACACTTGAGTCTGCCAGACAGAGCTCTCACCAACCTAAATGCTCAGTTTTAAATGAACAAGGTGATCCAGCCTGACAGGCCAGATTCATCCACCAGAGAGAAACACACAGGTGCATTTTATACAATGGCAGCATATTACACGCACTACCAGACACCAAACTGAAGTCCAAACTCTGTGTAGCTTTTGTAAAGCATCTCCAAAGCCATCTGAAATCTTCAGGTTTTCAGAGGCAAAGATTTTCTTCAAAAGACACTTGGTCATCTTCTTATTCACCACTGCGAAGGTGTCCAAAAGACTTTAACTAACCTCTGCTAATTCTACATAGGAACCTTTTAATGAATACCATGATACTGATAATAATTTGTTAATTATAAGACATATGAGCCATTTAAAGTTGTTTTTTTTTCCTCTTTGTGATGAAATATTAGGAACAGTGACTTTAAAACCAACTGATTCCCAGAGCTGGCGCTAAGTCTCTAGTGCCTGAAGAGACTTCTGCTTGGATTTCACACAACACAAATGCACTTCTACATTCCAAAGAGAATTCTCAGGTCTCAGTATCACATCTCCTTTGCAGAGATTAAACTACAAAACTAACTTCAAGCCTAGCTGCTGAAGGAAGTGTTTAGCTGCCACAAGTGACAGTGTCCCTTGGGACTCACCAGGATTCAGTCCCTGATCTTCCAGTACTGCTCCCACCCCGGTAACAGACATGGATGCAGGGATTCACCTCTCCCAGGGCAATGTATCTCCCTGCAATTTTCAGCCCCAGTGGGCATGCCCTCCACAATGCTGTTAATATATATGGTACTGGTTCCAAGCAAATCTGGCTTAAATGCCAAGATGAGCTTTTACTCGCACCTCTAACAAGCTCTAACAAGCTGAGAGCGTAAAAATGGTGGTTCATAGATACCAGGGGGAACTAGCTAACAGACATCCCTTGGAACCATAAAGTAAGATAAATACATTTAAATTCTGAAGAGAAGTCTTGTCATATTTCTCCAGAACAGTACAGAAGAGCTTCAGATGGGGAGATTCATTAAAAAATGCAGCATCTTTGTTTACCTAAGCCTGTGGTTTCTAAGTAGCTACTTTTTACTATGTTTATTTCTTGACTCAAAGTGAAAATGGGAATTCACCCTTTTCTCTTTTTTTCCTGCCCAATGTGCAGATGGGGCACATTTTCTCTCACTCCAGCCATCCCTGCCCCCCCACGCACAAGCTTGCATAGATGCACCTAGCCAGTGGAAAAGAAAAAAGGGTTACTCATTAATCCATTCTACAAAGCTTTCCAAACTGAAATGGGTGGGGTCTGCATCTCCAGCAGGGAGCAATATATAGATAGGTGCAGAGCATACCTGGGCACAGCTCAAACTGGAGTGTTAAACTTAGACAGCACAACTTTGCTCCTGGCCTATTTTAAAACAAAACTCATCAGGATGGAGAGGACGATTATTTTCTGTATGCTTTTCTTCTTTTCCAGTACAGTGCTGGCTGCAGCTTCACACAGAGCAGTAAAATACAGACAGATTCTCCTGGTAATTGAAAAGTTAGAACACGCAGTGAAAGATAAGGTAAGCAAAGTATTTGTCATAATACTGAGACTGTTTTCAAGCATTATGTGTTGCTCAGTATGTATCTTGTGAGGGGCATCACTTTCAAAAGTTTTCTAACTTAGATTTGTTTCATTGTAGGATGTTGAATGGCTGCATACACCTGAAAACCCTGTGGTGAGACTGCTTTACCATTTCTTTAATTTTAATTTAATTTAATTTCTTTAATCAATTTGATTTTGTACTGGTTTACTCCACTGATAAGTGGCACACGCCTTCTTCTTCGCATCTCTGACCTAGTACTCTAAACTTAGCTAGACTAAGAATATACTTTTATAAAAGTTTCTTATTTCTAAATATTTAATAGCAGAACTGTTTATATTTTGCCGTCCTAATTACTGTTTTACTACCATATGTGTATTCTAAGCCACTCACAGATTCAGAGTTGCATGTGATCCATTTACTCAAGAAACAGTGCTGAGAGTGAGGGTTCATTTAAGACCCAGATGAGCAGCAGTACTTTTGGGGATGTGGGTTTTGGGAGTGGAAGTGCCATGAGCTCCAAAGGGACTGCCTTTCCCTCCCACTGAAGCTGAATGCCAAGAGTGGCACTGTAAGGCCATATCACAGAGTGCTTCCTCTCATATGTACTCACACTGGTCTCTCTGAGACTGTTTGTATGCAAGGGTTGTGCTATCAACAGGAAGACAAAACTGCATTCTGCATATAGTCTCTGTGGACTCTAACTAGTTAAAAATACAAGAACAGCTCCCCATGAATCCCTTTCTAATTCTGATATTTACTTATACGTTATTTATTGCTAATATTTTGCATCTTCTAAGGTCAGGAACTTCTTATATGTGGTAAATTTGTAATTCCAGACTCACAGAAAGTCTGTGCATACTCAAAAGTGGCAGGATGGAGGATGTGTCACAAAATTAAATGCTAATCATAGTAACAACATGTCTTAAAAGCTTAGAGGGTAAATGCATCCTGCTTTGATAATACCCAACATGCAACAAAGGTCTAGAGCAAACTGTGGCTCATATAATATTATACTTTTGTTATCAGCTGTCTTAAATTTTTGAGCCCTGACAACTATTTCATAACACAAACAATGTAGACTGACATATAAAAATAACCATTATGGACTATTAAGCGTTCTTACAAAAACTATCTACTCAGGACTGCAAACTCTCTTGTAAAGCAGCTTCAAGAAGGAAAGAAACTCACCTCATTTCACACAAGTTTTGGTTAGCCTCCTCCTAGGCTTTACAGGTGGCTGCCTTTTTTACTTGCCGAAAATACACAGAAGCAGGACCAAAACAGAGAGGTTCCTTTGCATTGCTGGAAAGAACTGCTGTGCACAAACCCAACGCCCTCCAACTAATTGCTGGAGGTTTCTTGCATTAACACTCTTTCTAACTTGTGGTGTCAAAGTGAAAAGGAGGAGATGATTAGCTGTCATTTTACTACAGTGTTTGCTGCTACCTCTGAAACAAAGCAAATACAACTAGTGACTAATTGCTTCATCAAGTTGTTGGGTTTGTTTTTTTTTTCTCAAAAAAACCCGTGCTCACCTCAGGAAGGAAGACAACATTTCACTTGCAGCTTAGGGCTTTACAGTCTGATTCTGGGAGGTCCTAAGGTACCTCTGCTGAAAACTAGAGAAGACAGAGAGCTCACATATTTAGAAAGTATTGAATTGATACAGGTTCAACTTCTGATGAAAAGCATTTAAAAAAATATTAGTGTGCTAATAGTAATTATCACCAGCAACCAAATTAATGAACTTTTCATCCTACAGGGTGACTAAGATATGAATTACAGTGTGCCAAAGAGGCAATTGGGTTGATTAGGTGCCATCATACCCTAATGAAACTTGATTTAATCAAAAGTTGTTCATATAACTGTATTTCAAATATCAAAAATACTGCTTTTATGATAACCTGCTTATGCCAGATGTAAATTTGGTCTTGAATATTCAAGAAGAAAACTACCTTTTGTAACACTCAAAATTAGGTGGTTTATCACCATCTGTTTTGGCTGCCTTGAGGTTCCTCTGTGTGGACTGTTAGTCCCAATACAATCCCACACAACTTCCTAGGGATGTCAGGCAACATCAACTCAAGGAAAATCATGCTGAGGCTGAAAAAGTAATTTTAATGCTGAAGTGATTCCAGAGTGCAGGGAAGATAAACTTTCTTGCTGGTGATAGACAGTGCAGCTGAAGTCATAACTCAGTGCTGATGTACACAGGATCAGTATCTAACCCCGCCCATCACTAATTCTGCAAGTGAGGGCTTTACAGGCTAATCTGTGAAGTTAGTTTGAGTCAGATGCAGAGTAGTGCTGCAAATTGCCTCTGAGATAAATATTTAAATATTTGCCTAGCCCCTCTCAGACATTTCCAGTGGTCTGTGCTTTTTAATGCCTCTTCATCGAAGTGCTTAACCCGTGACCACGCACCGAACCCCACAATCCTTGCGGTCGTCTGACTGTTGGCCTGCCTGCAGCTGAGTGTTAACTCAGCAAAAAAAGAAAGGCAGCAGAGATGAGAACTGCTGGTTTCTCAGCTCATCACGGATGAGACAGAAAACGTTTTCAGTTTCAGCTGGAAAATCGTTCTCTTTTTAAAAAACGAATGGTTTTTTTCCAGTAAGCGAGACCGGTTACAGTAAGATGCTTGAAACAAACATAAATGTGTGGCTTTTAAGGAAAATAAAATGTTTTCTCTAACTAATATAAAATTTTGCTAGTAAGATTTGCTATAAGCAACACACATGGAGGCTGCCTTCTTGTTGCCTGGTCCTTGCCCAAGCAGCAAAGTGCAGTGACATCTAGCAAACCCAAATGGGACTCGGCTTGGGTAGCAGCTGGTTAGGGTGCAAAGCAGGGATGATGGCTTTGGAGCCTTTCTAAAACGTGCAATCAGCAGTCCTAAATGTTTCCTTTCACTTAGAAACTGGCTTCAGTAAACACTGCTTTTGTTTCTCTGTTGACTATTAGGTTAGTTTTGGTGGTATTTCCTGTATTCGTTTCCCATGTTATCATATGAGAACATTTCAATAGTTCTACATCAACTCTAATTATTAAGGAGGCAGTATAGGAAACGGCACAAAAATTAGGATGAAAAAGGTATATTCCCACATGTAGCACTGAGAGATATTTGTAATTTTTTAAAAATAAAATGCTCATACTTGTGAAAACCTACTACATGTAACATATACTCTTCAGGAGCATTTTTTTTTCAACTGCTGTCATGATTAATATCCAAGTGGAAATTTTAGTTAGAAAATACTAAGTGTTTAAGTAATTAATCCAAGATCAGGCAAAGTAAAGATCTCTTGCATATCTAAAACTAACTTTTAAAAAAAAAAAAGAGTACAGTTGAATATTCTCAATTAATATCCTGGATACTTACTTTCACACATGGACCACAACCTAACCACATGCAGGAAAAAGCACTGAAACATTTGCTTTAAAACAGTTCCTTCTCTTCCTGCCCCAGGAGGGATGTGTGGACACAGCTCTGAGCTGCTTCAAGAAGGGCACGCTGCAATTACAACCCTTGAACAGCCAAGTGAACGCTACGTTCACCAAAGCCATCAAAGTCTTCAGAAAATACACCATCAGAAGTCCTGGAAAGGTAGGATTTCCTCACAGTGCTCATAATGGTGATCATTGCTCCTTATTTTCCATAGCAGACACCACCTGCAAGGGTAAGAATTGTAGAAAGCAAACTCGTTAGGAAAAAACAATCTGCTTTTCATCACTTCGGAAATTAAAAATGTCCAATTTTTGCACTTTTGGGAGAGGCATTCACCGGGATCCTGAATCAATCACATGTATGTACTTGGCAGCCACATGTGTGCTGGCAAAAGGACAGGGATCACTGCAAAAAAGGTGAAGGAAAGGTGTCATTACTAAATTCTCTCCCTTTCTGAAACAGCTTGTGTCGAAGCTTTTCCAGCTGGAAAAGGCTTTGCTTACAACCCTCGTGATTTTTCAGTGAGAAGGCTTGAAGCCTGATTTATGGTTCTGATGTGCTGGTTAGAAGTGGCATGATTTTCTTTATTTTCCAGCAGTGTGAGTCTTCATGTGAATCCTACAAGAAGAAACCCCCCAAAGAGTTTTTGACGAGCTTTGCAAAACTAATCCAAAAGGTAAGCAGAGCTGATTGCTCCTAGGTGCTTTCTACATTTTGTGAACTATTACAGATATCCTTATTTTACATTATTGCTAACAATGCCTTGTTTTTACAGTTACTCAAGAACGAATATAGCACACAACAGAGCTGAAGGCTGCTGAAAATCTACTTCTTAAAGCAGACACTATGTTATTTAAGATGTGAAAAATGTAAATATTTTTTAGTGCTCTTATGCTGTGTTGTGTGTGTGTGGTAAGTGAAAGCTTCTCCCAAAATATTAAGGAGTCTTTTCTGGATGGCTATTCATAAGGTGGATGCTGTTTTGAAAGTGATCCTACAGTGAAAATTAAATTTTAATTTCACAAAAACAGGTTCTCTTAAGGGACTTAACTGTCACCTTCTGCTGAACTAGAAAGACTCGAGATCCTATATTTTTGCTTTGATCTTACATGAATCCCATGCAGAAGATGTCTAAAATTTTTTAAAGAAAATGAACAAAAATACCACACACACACAATTTGATTTATAAGCTCTGTACCTTAGCTAACTATGAAAAAAAATATCCTGCATTTAACTGTCTTCTAAATACTGGAAAAACATTTACAAATGTTACAAATCCATGGCATGTATGGCATGGGTCTGCCTAGACTCCCCCAACATAACATCATAGATACAGCACAGGCATGACTGACTGGTATGACCAGCCACCCCAAAAGGTCTAATAAACACAGTAATTGATGATTATTCAGAGTGAAGCAGCTCAAATGCATATTGCTCTTTCTCAGAGGACAATATTTTACACTCATATTCATGTACTATATTAACACTATTCCTTCTCTCTCCTCTTCATCCGTTTTAACAGTTTAAGCTTTATTTATCCTTTAAAATCTGTCAAGTTTTTTGTTATGTGGAAACCTGCCTGTACAGCTTCTCAATCCTGAATGTTTCTGTGGAACTAAGGCCAGAGACACCACTGAAACTTTTTAAAGTAAAAGTGAGTATCACAGCACTTAAAAGTACTTTTAGCAGCTTAATTATATACCACCATATTCTGCTTGCAATGATTCTGAACCTCTGGACTCATCCACCTGAGCAGCAACTGCTAATTTACCCCCAGAGAGGTATTAGCCCCACATAAGGGAACTGCTCTTGGAGGAGAGGGTAAAGCCTTCCAGTAAAAATTAACCTTTCAGGTAATTTTTCTCTCTACTTAGTAGAAATGTGGTATAGACAGGAAACTGGAAAACTACATCTAGTGTTACAATGGAAAGTTACAAGCTTAGCTACCTCCACAAATAATGAGGCGTATTAAAAATATTTCCATTCCTACCAACGTCGGCCTAAAGGAAAACTAATACAAAAAGCTTTGCTGCCTCTACATTTTGCTGTCCTGAAATGTGAACTTCCTAATGGAGGAGGAGGAAGGAAGATCCTTAGGGAAACAACAAACCAAGCCTCCGCAGTGAACTCTCCCTGTTTCTGGTGATGGCCATTTTGATTTAGAGCATCTTTTTCTTCTACTTTTCTTTTTTTTTTTTCTTTTTTCTGTTTCAAAAACCGCTTTTCAGACTCTGAGTAATGTTCTATCTCGTACCTCAATGTTTCCATATCACTGCATGAGAATGAACATTCTAAACACGAGCTACCACTCCTATGTACGTAATCAAGCTACCAAGTGTAAAGGATGTTCTTTCTGCACCTTCTGTCCCCGCTCCTGACTCACCCGCCCATGAAGTCCCTTCCCCACCAACTGGTGAGCAATATGCAAGGCTGCTGCTGAGACTGCAATGCATTTTAAAGTTGCAGAAGCAGAGAAAGTTAGGGAAAAAATTAATTTCAGATTTGGATAAAAACAACTGGGAAAATATTAAAGCAAGTCCTGCAGTTGCAGTGTACCGACATTCATATTTTTATGGAGGAGTTTAAGTGAATGCCTTTATTGTGAATTAAGTGCCTTTTCTGGTGATTCCCAGAAGGTCAACCAATAAACCAGCACTTTTCACTCACTTCCATGGAATATTTGCATATGCAAATATGCAAATAGCTTTATATTTTTAGAAAGAATACAGTATATATTTTTTATTTGTAAATGTCTTTTCCAGTAACTTGCTAAATGCCTTAAATCAATATTCTAAAAGGGCCTATTCTAAAAGACTGAAAAGCCTTGTTGTGCAGATGAAATGTTTTTAGCATTTTAACACAAACAACATTGTACATTACCTATTTATTAGCAATCATTATAAAGCATTGAGAGGGAACTTTAGTATCTGGGATGGATATTTTATGAATGGAAAGAATTCCCTACAGGAATGTCATAAGCTAACTGGTTACTCCTGCCCACACTGCAGCAATTTCCGGGGTTTGTACAGGAGACAGCACGTAATGCAGTAAGCAATGTAGCTATTTCTGTTTAGTGACTTGCTCCAGCCTTTTAGCTATGGGTCTTATCACACCTAGCATAGTGCTAAAGAGGTTTTCTTCCTTGTTTTAAACATAATATACTTGCTTGTTAATTGAGGGCATTTCTTGTACCAGCAGAACGACAACTCAAAATGCTCATTTGTAGGATTCAAAAAACCAGTGAGAAACTGCAACAAACATAACTTAGAGGGTTAACTGCTCTGAGGTCTTGCAGAAAACCAAAAGTATTGGACAATGCAGCCCAGCAGTGTATGGAGAATATTGATTACCAAACTTTCACAGCTGACGCTCATTAACAGCACGCTTCTGGGCAGCGTCAGCGCAGCCACAGCGGGCAGCTCCGTGCACTTCAAACACGCTTTGATTCACACGATCCCGTGGCTCCGTGCTAACTTCCATTTGTCAGAGGTATGAAAGGCTGAGGGTGCTATTCAATGTGCTGTTTGAAGAATGAAGGATGAATGAAGAACAGGAAATCTGTGCACGACAAACCAGCGTGCAAGAAGACATCATCTGGTTCTGCAACACCGTTCTCAGAATAAGAAATTAAGATGCACCAGGAGGAACTTGTGATCCTAGGAAGGACCATATCACACATCAGGATGTGTACACAGCCTTGGCTTACTTCCTTGTGTAAGATGGACTCTCTCTGTACTAACTGCACTCTCTGCAGAAACAATGTATTTTTCATTAACTGAGTGTAAGCCTTTCGTAAAAGCTCATTACCTCCCAGGGAGGCTTTACAATATATTTATGACTTTGATCATAAGTGCACTTTTCAGGCACTTCAAGATGTGTTTTAGCATGGTATATACAATTCTGTGTAATATTTACTTTTCCAGAGAAGATTATTTTTATACCCACTGACTCATCTAATTTAATTATTTATTGCATTTCTGTAAAGGGAATGTTCATACTAAGGACTATGTGGTCTGATTAATTTATATGCCTGTGATATTAAACAATTTTACCTAACACAGTTTTCTCTTGTTCTATTCTTTCAGAACTTCTTTCTGTAGTTACCTGAGTGAGAAGTATTCCCTGGGGAATAGTTAGGGGTCTTCCATCCCGTAAATTACATACCTGGTTTGGAGTGGGGTGACTTGTTCCTGAGTATTTCTGCTTCTCTTCACCGAGTGAACAGATGACTCAGAACTGACTAATAGCTAATTCTGGCTCCCACTGGGATTGCCTGGATTAGACTCTATCCTGGTTTTCTTTGAAAACCATTCCTACCCTGACAGTGGCCAATCAGTGAACTTTGTTAGCCTATACTGTCATCAATTTATCAGATCAGGGACACGGTATACAAAGTTTATCTTCTTCATATAACCATTAAGAAGGAGTCGTTAACTTTTTATTGTTCCCATCTCACTTGAAAATATTTTTTTTTAAAAAATGGGCTTTTCAGGGTTAATAAAGTCCTTCTGGCATACTCATGGCAGGTTCAGTGACATCACCCAGATTTCTTTAGACTGCCATGAACAAAAATCGGATAACATTCTGTGTAGAGTCAAAACAGGAAAAGTCAAACACATGAACACATAACTATAAAAGTAACAATTATCCAGTCTGTTTTTCACTCTTCTCTCTCCTCATCTTATTTTTTCCTTGCTTTGAAATGTCAATCCTTTTATCACAGCCCAATTTAATAGGATGTGCCTTATTTCAAAAAATAAGTATTATAGTTTAAAATGGTAGCTATGTTTTATCTTTTATTAAAATGCCTTTTTCCTGAAATGTAATAAAAATGGATCAACAACAAATAAGCACAAAGTTCTAATGAAAACAAACACTAAACAGTTGAACAGCTATTCCTCTCCTTTTTAGAAAACACTGACTCAAATAGTAACTCCTTTCATTGTGTTTTCTGTCATCACACAACTGCATTTGTTGGGCCTGATTTCCTTTAAAAAAAAAATCCTTAAAAAATAAATGGAAACAGAGAGGAACTGTCATAAAACACTGGAGGCTTCAGACATGAACTGCTCCTACATCCAGGACAGAGGGTGATGTGCTCACTCCAAAGAAGAGCCAGCAGACTCATTCCCAAGGATCTGGATGTGCAAGCTGCCTCCTGCTGGTTCCCAAACAGTTCAGTGGTGGTGAACACCTGAATCTGCACCTTAGATCTCCCTGCGAAAGGCTTTGGAAGGAAGAGCAAAAGGATAGGGTCTAATCCTCCTATCTTGGCACACAAGAAACCAGTGGGAGCCAGGGCTGCTGGGATCCACCCAGAATTAACTGTTAGTCAAGTCTGAGTTATCTGACTTCACTCAGTGAGGAGAAGTAGAAACACTCAGGAACAAGGCACCCCACTCTAAACCAGGTATGTGTTACAGGGGACTGGAAAACCCACAGGGAATAGTTCTCACACAGATAACTACATATTGAAGCCCACTACTAGATATGATCAATCTCACTCAAACTGTGTAGGATTCAAATGCAAGCCAAAAGGTTGAGAGTACTTTCTTTGGCTAACACAGTTTCTCCAAGTGCATATTTGCTAAATACACCACAGTCTCTCTTTCCTGATAGAACACACTTAATTTTGCACAGACACACTGCTTTTATTTCTTACTTGCACTTTTCAGC